CTGTTTCCAGCTCTTTCTGTGAGCACAGTGAACACAGTCTCTGTTCTCGCGGCTGACATCTCTGTCTGTGCTGTCCTCTCTCTATAGCCAGACAGTGATCACTCAGTCTGTATTTTGTCAGTGTCTTTCTTAATTTGTGATCTTTTACACAGCTCAGGTATTCTGCTGGTTTGTAGTCTCTTTTTAGGTCTAAATACAGCTCCATCTTCTTTTGTAATTTAGTGGCATCTTTCCAGTAAGCAATGTAATTGTGTTTTTGTAGCTGTGTGATGTGGTTGGGCCGGATTGTGCTGTGCTGGTTTGGGTGTAGTTTGAGCACCAGCTGTAAAAGGGCACTCTTCTGCATCTCTCTCTCTCTCTCAAAGACTCAAATGTGTTTAACATCATGCTGCATTAAAAATATGACAATAGACATGTGGAATCAAACAAATACATCCTAGCTTGTTGATCAGAATGTTGCACCAGTGCAGTGTCTATATTAATTATAAAAAAAAACAAGCAATAGAATTTCTTAATCTTTAACCAAGCTTTCAAAGCTCCTGTAGTGTAGTACACTGTTCAATAATAATATTATACATACAAAACAATTCTGATTTGCAAAAGAAAATAAAAGTAAATACATAAATGAAATCTACATTGTGACATGCTGCAGTAAATTTGTTTAAAGGTATCTACCAAACATGAGTTCTGGTGGTTTACCAGAACCAAAAAACAATTAAGTAAACTTAAAAGAGTGTGGAAACATAGTACATTACTGCCATCCAGCGGCAGTTAGCGGTAGTAAAATGTTACGCACGCATACACACACACACACACACACACATATATTTGGTCTTGACAACTACAGCTGGTTTATAAGGTCTGTGCTGTGGATGGGCATTTTATATGTTGGTTTCTAGGCAAGAACAAGCTGCAGTGTGGACCAGACTTGATGCTGATTTGTCCTCTTCACCAATCCTGACTGGACTTCTGTTTAATGAATTTGAGTGACAGATAATAGAGCAGGATGAAAACAAAAGCAACAGCAATAAGCACCAGGTAGCAGGAATACAGTGGATACTGGTTCATTTTCATCATCTCCACAACCTGAAAACAAAGTTGAAAATTTAATGGCATCCATGAATAGAAACCATATAGATGTGCATTTTATATGTCAGCGTTCCTCACCTTAATACCATCGAATTCTACAGTGAGGTTTCCAATAGTGATTGGGATTCTAGTCCCACGAAACTGAACCTGCAGCGTTCCCTCAAAACCCCAGCGCATGAAGGATATGTAAGAAAACCAAGACGCCACTGTTGGTGGTGAAAATCTATATAAATTTTTTTTTAATTCCTGCAGATTTGAATATAGTATTAATTTGAAATAAAATTCTCAATGATGCTTTTACCCAGCCACATGTTTTCCAGACTAATGACAAAGCCAGCAGTCAGGTAGAAGACCGTGAAGAGTGCGTTGCCCATGAAAGACGAAGTCTGCAGTGCGTTTGAACAAAATGGTTGAGTGAATGATTCAAATGACTCACTTAGAAAGACATTCACTTATCGCCACGTACTAGCATAATGATGTGACTCGAAGAAAGAGTCACTGAACAATCCACACAACCAAAGCACAAGCTGACAGTTTGTCTGGAACATGTAAACAAGGACAAATGGAATGATACAAACTGAGCACTGCACAGCCAATCAAATCCAAGAACCAAAATTAAATGTTGTATAATAACATTGCACATTGTTCAATCGTGCGTCTAATGTAATGCATTTTACAAAACCCAAGTAAAAAAACTGATCAATACTTTTGACTCTGTAACTACACGTTCATGAAAAATTTGTGAAGCTCTGCCATGTCCCAAAGGTCTACACATCGACACCACTATCATTCCTGAAGCTCTTACATAATGCAGTGTATTTACCTTGGCAAAAAAGTATGAGGTGACTGAGTACATGCCATCTTCCAGTTCATGATAAAGCATGGCTCTCTCTGAATGACCTGTGAAAAACAACATATTATGCCACTGGACACCAAAATAAAGAAAGAAATCTTCTGTAATTTACTCACACTTTGCAATGACGTCCAGCACCACAGCAAAGGGTGTCAGAGCTCCTATCATGTAGAGCAAAGCCACCGTATCTTGGACAGAAAGACCCTGATCCCCAGCCCCGAAATAAAGGAAACCGATGAGCAGTGACATCAACAAGGCTTCCAGACCATGAACCACCAACGTCACCAGATCTCGGTAGTCATTAAATACCTGCCGTCTAAAAAATGAAACGGCATTCAGAAGACAAAATTTTGCAATAAAAAGTGTTTTCCACTTTATTTACTTGATTAGGCTTGTGAACTGTTGCAGTTTTCCCGGCAGGCGATCCTTCTGTTTGGAAACTGTGATCACAGATTCCTTCTTCGAGACGGGAGGAACACTGCTGGAGTAGAAACTGTATCATCAGCTCTTGTGCGTTTCATTTTCATTGATACAGTATGAGAGATTATTATAAAAGATTTAAGAAAAAGCCTAAAGAACAAATACCAATTTGATTATTGAAATTTACCTTTGAGGGGCATCCAGTGCCAGAGAACCGCAATCTTCTGATTTCCACATGAAATCCTCTGTGTTCTTCACCTTCTCTACAAACTGGGCCGCTAACATCCTGGCTTTCTCCAAACATTGTGCTTCTTTTTCAGGACTGCGCCGATCAATGCTTATCAAATCCACTGCATGAGAAAGTCACAGTTCAGACACAACAACTGGACCACATGCTTAACTAGAGACATTCTCTGTCCCACTCACCGTAGTAGTCAGAGGGGTTGCAGTATCGTGGACACGGGTACCCAAGAGAAGTAAAGTAAGGTACCATGTCCTTGGCCTGACCGCAGTACACGGCTGAGCCAGAAGACAAGAGCACCACCAGGTCAAAGAGCTGAAAGATATCTGAACGAGGCTGATGGACTGACAGCAACACCAGGCGGTTCCCTCGAGCCAGACGGTACAATGTAATGACCAAATTATGGGCTGTGAAGCTGTCTAGACCTGAAGTAGGCTCATCTAGGATGAGAATACCTGAAAACATGTATAAAACATAAGCAAAGGTTTTGACAAATGCTATTTTAGTATGATGAGATATTATTATAGTTTTTAATATTTTTAATTAGTTTTTATTTTTACGTTTTCTGCTTCCATTTTCATTTTTAGTAATGGAATCATTTTTATTGTGTTTTTGTCATTTTTATTAATTATTTGTTTTTTAAATATATAGCCTATAGTTTGTATGACTTTTATTTCAGTTTTATTTAATTTACTACATCAAGTTAAACAAAATTAAAATGAGAGGTGTTGCCTTGGTAATTAGCTGAAATTAAAAAAATGTTTATTTTTTATATTTTACTTTGTTTTAGTTCATGTAATATAGTTCAAGTAATGGAAATATTTTTAAGGTGTTTAGAAATATGCATGAAGTGGTGTTTGCAACCCATTTTGCTTTCATAATCTACTTCTACGTGAAATAGAGTATTTAACATTCTGTATGGTAAAACTTCATCTAACAGGAAATGAGTAGGTTGTTCAAAAGTGAAATCAACTAAAAGAAAAATTGTTTCAGAGGTGGAAGAAGTCATTACATTTTATTATTTCATTATCATTTTAAAGTTATTTTATTAATGACTTTTTATAGTCTTTTATTGTGATTAGATTCTCGCCAGTAGGTGGCGATAAAACTTTTGAGTCCAATTCATCGATTCGTTTAAAAGAGAGTCCTCAACCGATTCGTTCGAACACACTGATTCATTGAGGAACGCCATTACTGTGTTGCATGGATGTGTCACGGTTCTGCTTTAACTATATGGTTTAAAGGGGTCATTGGATGCAAAATTCACTTTTACATGTTGTTTGAACTGAAATGTGTATTGGCAGTGTTTGTACACATCCACCCTATAATGATAAAAATCCACTCAGTGTTTTTTTTTAACCCCTATAAATAATATCCCCTTTCTCAAATCAAGCCTTTCTCAGCTTCTTGGCTATGTGACGTCACACAGATCCAGGCCCCTCCCACGATTGTTGATTGACACTGGCGTTTTACCTTGGACCCACCCTGAGTGAGCTGTCATCAGTCCGCCATTGTTTCACCGCTGGAGCAGTTGTAGACAAGAATGACTCCTAAGCGATTTAGGTGTTCTGTTGTTGGATGTAATAATGAACATAGCAGTCGTCATTTACTCCCGACATCTGAGCCGCTGAAGACGCAGAGGATTACGTTTGTTTTTGAAGGGAATGCGCCCCCGATCTGCCTAAATGCGTTTATGTTCGTGCAAATCATTTGTGATCCAGCCTCACCTACAGAAGAAGTGAGTATAAGGTTCTTTTATGAATTTTTACAAATGGCCTTTCCTAATAACGTGCTAGTTAGCAAGTTCAGCAGCTAAATAGTAATCAGTCCTCACCCAACGGAAGAGAGGGGCGGGGTGAGCAGAGCTCATTAGCATTTAAAGAAACATGCACTAAAACGGGTTGCTGTGTGCAGAGCTGTTTTTGGCAGGGCAAAAAGGGTGTTGTTATACACTACCATTGAGAAATTTTAACCAAAGTATGTTATAGTCTTTTCATTAAGACCCTAATCATATCAACTTGTGGAAAATGGGCATCCGATGACCCCTTTAAGCGAAAATAGACTAAACAACTTGCAATATTGTGTATAAATGTAAGTTGCTTTATATTAACATCTTGCTTATTGAAAAGCTGCATAATAGGCTAGTAATATCTTGCACACTTATAATTGCCTTGACCTGATTATTGGCCTACTGCCAAATCACAGACCGGCGAATATTTGGAATAACAATACTTATTCTAATACTGCCTAATTATGAAGACAAACGGTTTTTACTTATAGTAATGTGTACGAATAATCAACAGTAAGACCAATGACGTGTTGTGTTAAGTAATAAATAGAACTCAAGTGCTTAAGAGTCGAAAAAAAACCAAGTAGACTTTTTGACTAAGTATTTCTTCACTTCACACCTATGTTGATGTGTTAAAGACTCACCTGGATTCCAGAGCAGCTGTACAGCGATGCTAACCCTCCTCCTTTCTCCACCGGACACCCCCCTCACATAGTCGTTCCCCACGCGCGTGTGAGCGCACTGCCTCAGACGCAGCTCCGCGATGACATCGTCCACCTGTGCAGGTCAAACAGACAGGTCTGACAGTTAGTCACGCTCGCATTACCTTTAACTAGTTACATGATCTGAGTTCCTCACCCGCTGATCTCTCTGTTCCTGGGTGAAGTGCGCAGGCAGCCGCAGCTTGGCCACAAAAGCCAGCGTCTCCCGCACTGTGAGATGAGGTAACAGACGGTCGTCCTGCCGCACGTGAGCAATGCATTTCTTCACCAGAGAACGTGTGGAAGGTTTCCCGTTGATCAGAATCTCTCCTGAATTCATGTTGCCACCCTCATCTCGACATGTTATGATGTCCAGTAAGGAGGTCTTCCCACAGCCTGGAAACAAAACTTAGTTTCTTTCTGGCTTCCTTGATGCTTTTATTCACTTAATGTGCTTTGTTTAAGAATTTTGCACATATACCTAAAGTTTGACATAGGCCTACCTGAGCTGCCAATGACAGCAAGCATCTGGCCACTGTGCACATGTAGGTTTAGGTCCTTTATGACTGTTTGCTTGTTGCTGTGCATCTCCCAGGGCATCTTAAACTCTGACAGCCTCTCATACCAGGGTATCTGTGCAGCTATGTCCACCTGTGGAAAAATATAAATATATATCACATTGTACATCGGCCTCAAAAAGCATTTGGGCACTTAAAAATGTTTGAATGCCATTGCATAATATGTGAGGTCTTCAGACTTTTTCAGACCAAGGATCACTTGATTGACAGGGACACTAACTCTATGCCATAATCTATTTAAAATACATTTATTTCATACTAAGTAGCCTATACTTCAAATCCATTAACATATTTATTGACATATCACTTAAGACTTACTGGTATAAAATATAATTTTAACTTTATTTGGAGTAGGCCTATTTTTTATTGCACATTTCTTAATATTATGCCTAAAATATGTTTTAATATCATTATTAATTAGAATGTATGATCTCTGTATAATATCAGTTTTTAAATGCAATATATTTAAAGTGTACCTGAAGTATACTTGCAATAGTTCCACTTTAGCACAATCAAATATACTTAAGTATATTTTTAGTAGGACTTCAGCACTATACTTCGGTATAATTAAAATGCATTAAGAACAAAATTAGTTGTTCCAGTTTAGCAGACTTTAAGTATAACCGTTTAGTATACTAAAATTACAATTGCAGTGTATTTTTATTAAGCACATAAATATGTAAATATTTGTAGTATACTTAGCACAAAATAAATGCATTTAAAATCTTTTTTTTTTTTTTTTTTTACTATATGGGGTGAGCAGGGACACTCATATTTGTAAAACTTGAAGCCTGGCCTATAATTAATAAACTCAACACACTGTAATTTGTGAGGGACAAATTTGTTGGATGTTAGCTTCTTCTTGTTAGCTTTGGTTGTAAAATTATTGTATTTGGTTGAAGTATAAGAACTTAGTATTGCATTTTTGATTTACAAATATTTGTAAAAAAAAATGTTTAAACATTTGAGCCATCCTTCAACTATTCTTAAACCATACATACATACACAAAATGTATGTATGTATGTATATATATATATATATATATATATATATATATATATATAGCTTT